CATATGAGTGAGACAGACGCGCGCACGAATACACATAAACCCACATTTGGAATTTCGCAGTCGCGAGTGGCTTGTTTACATTTTTATTTGTTTATCATCACATGCTTCTTAATAGCTTTGTAGAGTGAGTAGGATGACTATATGCAACAAATGCAATATTGCCAACCAACTGTCAAGGAGCCGGGTTCTTTCCAAAAGCCGTATACATGTTTCAATCACAAAAAAGTCATATTCATTTTGCGGTCTATTGGAGATGATTGCAAAAATACCATCTGTGATTAGACTGGTAAGCAAAAAATGGGTTCGAATGTTTTATTTGAGTTAAATTGTCTGGACACACAAAACATTTGAATAAGAATTGACTGAGCTTATAATTCATTGTTAACAATAAAAAATATAATGATGTGTCTATATTTGACAAATTATTTGTTACGCATTAACCCCACTCAGCAAAATGTAAACAATTATAACGCTACACGTGTGGTCTGAAATTTTGTACATTTTTGTGAGTATATTTGAATACATTATTTTTTACCTCGTCTATTTATTCAGCCGTTTGGTTATTACGCGCAAAATATATATATGGCAAATGGCCCAGATCTAGAGAAACCGATGTGTTAGATTCACGTGGAAATGTCAATTATACTGATGTAGAGGGATATAAAATTAGCGTTGAACTCATCGCGCCAACCTCACATTTTGGCCCTCATGAGAATAGAAACGGATGGAAAACATCAACCTTTATAAAAATCAATGAAATCGGATTTCATAACAGTTTTCATCGTTACGAATTGTTTTGGAATGGCATGAGATTTTTCACAGACGATACAGAAACTTGATCAAATGACATTACTAATGACGATGAATTTTGAAAACGTGGCAATTTTGTTAGCGATAATATATGGAAATGACGATCAAGAGGTGAAAATAAAACCTCTCGAATTCCTAGCATTTTAAATTGAATTATTATTTTTTCGGTGCAGAATCATTCTAAAAGGGATTGTTGTAGATAATTTTATTTTAATGTATAAAAATGATAAGAAAACGACACTATTTTTTCACCATTTGTTTGGATATGAAAGCTGTTGAAAGTCTTCTAATTGGCTTGATAGACGGCGCCTATTAGACGGCGTCTCTTAGATCCAATTCCTTTCGTAACGTATTGTTCAACGTACATGTGTTGTTCATGAATAATTAACATTAGCATAGGTTGTTATCAAATATGAATAAATAAACAAGAATTTAACTTGTAGTCAGCCAATTGCTAAAAAAACAAATATTCCCCAAATGAGTATTAAAGAGTTGACTATGTATGTGATGACCTTAGTTCGACTTATGTTGTGCGCTGAGAACGTTGTCCGAAAATGCAGAAAGTAACTTTTGTGCGTATTCTGAACATTTTATTAGTGTTTGGTTTAGTTTCAATAATACTCATGTTTATATATCACAACTTTATTAAGCCACATGTTAATTGTAAGCCCACCATCACAACGGCAATCGGTTACGCAGCTTCCAAGATTTGCTCTGGTGCACTAATATTTGAAGAAAATTTCGATAAATTGGACAAGCATAAATGGCGACCTCAAGTGACACTATCGACGCATGGTGCGGTGAGTGAAAAAACGCGGCTTTTTTTATATTCTCATTAATGTCTCCATCGAATAGAACGGAGATTTCCAATTATATGTAGCCGGTGATAAAAACAGTTTTGCCACAGATGGACATTTGAACATCAAACCAACATTAACCGCTCAAAAAATCGGCTATGACAAAGTTGAAAATGGTTCTATTCATTTGAACGATTGTACCGATGCAAATAAGTCAAATTGTGAGCGAAAAACTGACGGAAATTCTATCATTAATCCCATTCGAAGTGCACGCTTACATACAAAAAGTTCATTTGCATTCAAATACGGTCGAGTGGAGGTGATTGCAAAAATGCCCATTGGCGATTGGTTATGGCCCGGTATACATTTTAAATTTGATTTTGACATTGTTTGAGTTTTAATTTATTTTTATGTAGCTATTTGGCTTTTGCCATTACAATGGAAATATGGTAAAGGGCGCCGATCTGGTGAAATTGACCTGGTGCAATCACGCGGCAATGTTGATTATATCGATTCAAATGGCAATCAAATCGGTGTCAAACGTGTTACCTCAACACTACATTTTGGTCCAAAATCAAATATGGACGGTTGGCCAAGTTCAACGTATTCCAGGAAAAATCCAGATGGTTTTAATCATGTTTTTCATCGATATGAGTGTCTTTGGAATGATAAAGGTATTAAATTTTTCGTCGACAACATTGAAATTGGATACACTGCAGCTGGCAACGGTGGTTTTTGGGAAATTGGACAATTTCATGGCGATAACATTTGGGCGAATGGTACAAAAATGGCGCCGTTTGATGAAGAGGTAAACATTTGAGTACAAATAATTGTGGTCTAAATGTCGACCAATCCGCAATTATCAAAATATTCATACACACAAAGAAATCAACATAACTTTTTAAA